GGGGGGGGGGGGACTACGTGATGTACACCTGTTTTTTTTTCGGGAAAAATGAAGAGAGAAAGAAGCAGAACACAGGCCACGATCACTGGGCACCAGCAGAAACCGTTGGCTGACCAATAGGTGATGAGTGGCTCTCTGCTTTCTCTGTTTCCTCTTTCTTTCGCATATCCGTCTTGCAAATTAGTCACATGACTGTTCATTGTGCATGGTGGATAGGAGACTGTACTGATGATTCCCACTTCTACCGGCACGCCAAGTTCGACCGGTGTTTACAGCTAAGGGATGAGACACAGACTGCATCCTAACATGTCTTCTTACACATGACACTTGGTCCAGTCCCTTCTATTCGATCATTTCGATTACAGCAGCTTTCGGTCTGTGGCGATGGCACGAAGGCCTACAACATTGAGATATCGGTTAACCAAAGTACCACTCGAATTGGGTTTTCCGAAGTCTTTTGTAGTTTTGAGGCATGCCTGATCCGTTGAAGTCGTTAAAATTGAACGTTTGGGTCTGTGGAAACTTTTCTGTGATACCAGTGGTTTTGATGCTTTGTGTAAGTCTTCCGCTTTGATTTTATTTGTGGTTTTTACCATCACTTTTGTTAACAACAAATAGTGTTTTTAAAATTGATGTGGTTGTGGGAGTTTAAGTGACCTTGAACTTGTAATTTCTTGCCCAGATCTCCAAGCTCTCGGGATTTATAGGTCACATTTGGCGAGTTTCTTTGTGACGAGCGTCGCGCTTGTTTGTTTTGTTTTAATGTGATTAAAATTTGTATTTTTGTGTTTCAGATCAATAGAAGTTATCGTCAACTTTCGAGATGTCGGAACAGAAATCCTACGTAAGTTTTTTCGGTATTTTCACCATCCAAATTTTTGTTTGTGAATCAATTGTGCATATGTGAATGTATATAGCGTATTTATATATATGTGTACCAGTGGTTTTTTTCTGATGCTTTTCGGCTTATTTTTGTGAAATTTTATAAAAATCCATTTATTATCTCTGTTGCATAATTTTTTAACTTTTTTTTTGGTTTGTTTTGCGTATTTCGTGGCTCAAAACGCTTTGGATGCTTGCATGTGGCTAATACCCTGGGTACTACTGACTGATCAGTTTGGATCTTTTCGGCCAAAAATGTACCATTTGAAAAACTTGGCATTTAGCAATTACCAGAATTCGGTGGCGCAACAGAGATGCTCGAGCTAAGCTAGTTTCGATTTTCGCAAAAATCGTCCTTAGGACCATGATAAAAAAGTGCTGTGAAACTTTGACATGGAATAAATCGGTTTTCCAGATGATCAGGGATCTTTATTAAACAATTTAATCATAATTTTAGCCAATTCCGTATCGCAGCCAGCTGCAGGAGAAAATCGAGCCGGGCCAGACCCTGATCATCAAAGGTTCGACCATCGATGAAAGCCAGCGGTAAATGATTTTTTATCAAACGAGGGGGAGGGGAAGGTAGGGTTTAGGGGGCACTCATCCAGCTATATGAGGAGATTTTTGTTCCGTGTGTACATTTTAATGTTTGGACGTAATTTGGGATACGAGATCAGAGAATAGGTTTTTCAGGATTTCCCGGAAATTTTTTTGGAACTTCGTTATTACACAAGTCGACGACCACGCCTAATTTCCGCATATTTATTAGGCTCTAACGTCATAGCAGATAAAATGGGAATTCGAACTCTTGTGCTTATATTATGCTTAACCGCTCAGCATTTTTTAAATCCTAAGGCTTTCTGATGTAAATTTTTAGGTTTTAGTTCTGGATTAGTTGTGTGACTTAGG